TTTGACTAAACGAAGGCGAAAATAGTCAGTTAATAATTGTATAATAAAGTGGCGTTGTTTTATGTTAATGTACACATTTTCTCCTTGACGTCACCAAACAAGCTATTTCTTGTCACAGAAATTTGCAGACGCTACGGCGAGGCAGTGCACCTCTACCAAAAGGCAAAGCTTCAGCGGAATTCCAGCTTACCGCGGTTAGTAAGAAAAAACATTGTGTATTGCATTCAGTTTTTGTGCCCTTGTGTGTCACGAACGTTCTCTATGTGCAATAAAGCTTTCAAAAAGCCTTTCTGTGTAGTCCCTTGCTAAGCCTGAATTGATTTGCAACTTATTTTGCATCATATGTCTACAAATATTGCAAGGACAACCGAACTACAATTTAGCGATGAGAACTGTTTTTTGTTGTAGGGCCTCAGTGTGCTTGTAAATGGTGAGCTTGGAGTTGTTCGATACATTGGTCCAGCGGAGTTCGCAGAAGGAACCTGGTTGGGCGTAGAAATGAGGAAGCCAGGTACAAAGCTTTATAGCTCACTATATTTCGTATTTATTGGCTAGTTTCTAGTTTTTGTGCCTATTTAGATATATCGACAGAGACGTCTTACAGGGTACATAACCTTATGATTGAGGTAGAAACTGTTCCACCCGCGGGATGAAAACGTGAAAATGTGGTTTCCTCTACGACGCAACGTAATCTACAAACCCAGATCCAACCTCGTTCGGGAGGAAGAGAGACCCCGAAAACGAGGCTTCCTCAGAACGTTTCTATAGACTTAGCCGAGATTGCTACAGGTTTAAGCCTACGATTGGAAGTTGTCTTATTGTTATTATTTTTTTACTTGATACAATTTAAAATTACTCTTATATGACCGGGTGTTCTGTGAAACCGGTAGAATGCGTCATCTTGTTCAATACGCTCCAGCTAAACCCAGTGGCCTTTCGCCTTCTATCGGATTGCTTTGTTTTCAGTTGTGCTTTTGTTTTTTACAGTTGGAAAGAACGATGGCTCAGTAAATGGCAAGAAATACTTCAGTTGGTGGGTATTCCTTTAATTTCCTAGTTATTTTTCCTGGTATTGTTGGGCTTCTCTCGTCTCTGAAAACCCCACAGCTTGTTTTTAACATCTGTTCACATCTTATTTTGCCATTCCTAACTTTTTCTGTACTTTAAACTGTTGAAGCTTTCAGGATAAGAAATCCTTTTTCTAATCGTACAAATAATAATAAGTGCGAGACAAAGTTGGAAGTCATAGCACCTAACACTACAAATACCATTTACACGATTTTCAGCAAACCTCAACATGGCCTCATGGTTCGCCCGAGTCGAGCCACTTGTCGAGGAATCAATTGCGCCAAGTTAATCAACGAAATGGAATCTGGACTTCTTGCGTAACACTAGTGGCAATCCCGAGAGGTGCCGAAGATTGTCAGCGACTACTTGTCAACGATGTTTGAGTCTTGGGTTTTGGCTGGGAGTACATGCTTTGTTTTTCCGAGAGTGTCCCGAAGATTGTCCGACAACGGTAGACATAGACACCGAATGGTACAGGAAGCAAATCGAAGCCGACTATATCTCGACGAATGTCGAAGACAAGAGAGGGTCAAGGTACTTTATAATACCTTGATCTTCTCTTGCCGAAGATAAATATTATCACAAAAGTGGTTTCACCCAAGACGAGTTCGCTGCGAACTTACTGAACGTAAAAAGATATGTTTGACTTTTCTCACTGAGTAGCTTTTAACATCTTTTAGTCTCCTATTTCAGATAAAGATGGCCGTTACACATACATGCGCAAATTAATTTAAGTTAAAAAAAAATATCCGTTCTGAAGAATAGCTCGTGTCAGTCAGTTCGCAAAATATTTGCATTATCGGAAAGTTGCGTGTTTTTAGTCCTATGATATTCAGATATCCTTTTGTAGTAGTCATCAAAGTCCTCTAAAAAATCTTACGTTTTTATGGCGTCACTATGATACATGTTGGTCGTTTTGTCAACCGATTAACTGCAAATTCTGTCATAACTATATTAGTTTTGCATTAGATTGCTAATTGCATTAGTAACACCAAACTCGTCACCCGCAGCTTCACGTGTCGAAAGTCAAACTGGTGCGGGTGATTTTGGTTTACCGCTGTGTTTTAGGTTTTACAAGTCATAAGGAAACTGCTCTGTCGTGAAAGTGCAATTGCTATGCTTTCATTTGAGTATTGTGCTTACATCAACTACTTTCTTAAAATTTAGCAGGGTGAACTCTTTGTAGGAAGATAGGTCATCTTTGCGCGGGAAAGGTTATATAAGCTTAGGATAAGAGAAAGAGTCATCGGCGCTATTTTTAGTCTTGATGATTCCTTGAAGCTCAATACTAAAATCATTAGACACTCAAGGGTGATGGTTGGATTTTGTTGAATAGCGCTTAACAAAAAACAGGAAACTATTAGAAGCAAACATGGTTAATGACGCTGGGGATAAAAATGGAGTAAAAACACGTTTGAAAACTCAGGGCTTACATTTTCAATGCTAATTTTGTCTCAAAATCCTTCCAAATTTTGGAAAAAA